TTACCCACCTCGGAAGGATGGAAGGCTGAGTCAACCTTGAGCCAGTGAGATTTGAACAGCCGAACTGCAGAACTGCAGTCAGCTGAAGTAGCCTGTAGTGCTGCATTTAACCACATTTAACCACTGCACCACCTCGGCTCAATGTGGCAGGCCTGAAGGCCCAATGTAAAAGATCTCTTCCAAGTCTGACAACTGCTGTCTCTCAGATTATATTCTCTTTAAGGGATGTTATGTATTTATTATACAATAGGATATTGGCTCCTGCTTTTTGAAGTGTTTTAATCCATATTTCATGGCTTTAAAATTAATAATATTTATAAAAGTTTTGAAATATATTGTCTATGAAGATTCTTGGTCATTCAGGTGATGGTTGTGCCAAAGGTGCTTTTTCAAGAGGCAACTGGACTTTCTGGGTTTTTTTTCATTGATGGCACTTTGGTTCTCATCCAAGAAGCTTCTTCAGCTCATTGCTGTATTTTGAAATACAGTAATGAATCACAATATTTATATCATTCTTTTTAAAATACAGGTAGAAATATGCTTTAAGAATTTTTTTTTAAAAAAATATTGACAATTATCTTCTCCATTAAATCTGTTTTACTCCACTACAAGACTTGTCATGTTGTGCAATTCTAAGCTTTATCCCACAGTGCAACATTTATTTATATTCTGTTTCCATTTTCATTCCCCCTCTGGGCATTTTGGTTCTATTTGCACCTGTGCTGAAAGAACAAAAAGCTAAACATACACATACAAAAAACATTTCAGCTGAATTCTGAAAATATGCCAGGTTGTTATATCTGGTAAAATTATTATTATTTTCTTGTATGGCTCAGGTTGAATTCCCAAAAATGTGAATGCAGTGGCAGTTGAAAACTTTTGATTAGACTCAGTTCAATGTAGCAAAGGTAAAATAAAACTGTTTTTAAGATCTCTGACATCCTTTTTATTTCCATCAAAATTGACAGAATTGAGGAACCATTGGTATAAACTCCGGTTCACCGACAAATGCACGCTCGACAAAAGCGTGCCAACAGAACCCTAACCGTAACCCTAACCCTAACCCTAACCCTAAACCTAAACCTAAATCTAAACCTAAACCTAAACCTGACCCTGAACCTAACCCTGAACCTAACCCTAACCCTAACCCTAACCCTAACCCTAACCCTAACCCTAAACCTAAACCTAAACCTAAACCTGACCCTGAACCTAACCCTGAACCTAAC